TCAGGACAACCATAAGGCCGAGGCCTCTACGTCCTGGAAGATTGGATTGGATTGGATTGGCCGTGGCCATTACCAGTCCTGTGCAACCTGACCTGACCTGACCTGAACTGACCTGACCTAACGTTAAATTTCTGCGCTACGATGGAGGTCAGACGGCGTCGCATTGCGCCTAACAATACTGAGCAACAAAGGCCTTTAGAGGTGCTACAAAACCTAGATGTTTTCACAAAACTTCCAGAAGAATGTGAAAAGTCTACTAGTGGTGGCGGAATAGGTAATTATAATTCCGCATAATCCCTTGATTAGTCTTAGTTACAATTATCACGTTCATCGTCACATTCCTGCTGGTCATATTTGAGGTTAAAAATTATATGCATCCTCGTTACGTATATTCATACGAAGTTGATCCTGATTTCACCAGGTAATCTTTTTTATGACTCACGAAATACACTTAACTATAAGTGAAATCCAAATAAACGTAGACTTAATTGTCGCTACCAGATGTCAATGCAAGTCCTATTACTTATTTAACTCTTCAAATTTTAGATACATCCCTCGATGTTTACGATAATACTGGTTTATCTATGAAATCAAAAGGACAAGTTCACTATCGTGATACTGTTTACGAACTAGACGAAACGCAGCGTCGTCACTTTGAGGTAAGGCTTTTAAACTTGTGATAATTTTGGATCACCAAATCTTTAAAATTATAATGAGTTTTCAGTACCATGTTGCTGATTGAACCGCGTAGCATAATTGTAGCCGTGTCTTTTTATGCTTCGGGTGATTTCACGTTATTCTAGGCAGCATGTTAGCGCACTGTAGTACATCTAATCTTTTATGTTCAATATTCCATTGTATCATAACGGTATACCACTACGATGGAGTCTAAAGTTATTCCGTTGCCGGAGGACAACAATGGTAACAAGTGAATTTGCTCTCAAGCCAAAAAATGTAACGTATTCAGTTTCTGTTTGAACAACCATTAATCATGCACTTTCTTGCGCCGGTTTTGGTTGCTGTCTTTTGGCTGCCCATTTGGATGAATAATAGGAGAAGAACAGGAAAGTTGAAGGTAGAGTCGAAGAGAGAGAACTCCCGTAAACTATATCTGCAAAGAAATTGAGAAGATGCAAGAGCGCCACTGTGGATACCCAAAACTCTGCGCCTAACCTCAGCATTGTTCGTCCGGCTGACCTAACAGATTCGTGCAATGATGCGTAAACAGCGGTGTTCAAACACCGACAGTCTATCTTTATCCTGTTTTCTCAGCGGCCAAGTTTGTGCTCCATATAGCAGACTGGCCGAACTTCCGCGGCATACACTCGACCCTTTACAGACGGCGCCACAAATGTCTCAAATTGACAAGTGCCAACCTAGCCTCCTGTATGCGAGCTGACACTTCATCCGTCATGCGTCCACCGGGTGAGAAGTAGGTGCCGAAATAACAAAATTTATCCACTTGCTCTATTACTTCTCCAGTTAGTGTGAGGCTCGTTGCTGGGCCGATCCGGTCTTGTAGTAAAATTTTGCAATTTGAAGGTGCAACACGTATAACGAACATGGATATACTGGCAAAACAAACTGTCCAGAAAAGCTTGCAACTTACCTGGATCTTCACTTAGTAGCACGATGTCGTCTGTATACTCTAGATCAGACAATCTGCCACTTGGGAGTAAATCGTTGCCACTATCCTCGCACGAGGATAGGTCTGTTTCCATAATCAAATCTATAACAAAGTTGAATAGAAAAGGGGAGAGAGGGCAACCCTGACGAACACCACTTTCTGTGGGGAACTCGGGCAAAAGAGTGCCGTTAGCCCGGACCCGGCTTCGGCTATTGTTATAGAGGGATTGTAAGATAGAAATAAACTTCTCGGGCACACCCTTCAGGGAAAGGCAGAGCCAGAGTTTAGAGCGGTCAACTGAGTCGAAAGCCGCTTTCAGATCTAGGAAGATAGAGATGGTGGGTCTACGAAAGGAATGTCGATGCTCCAGAATTAGACGGAGAGTGAAGGCGTGGTCAATACAACCTCGACCAAGTCTAAAACCAGCTTGGTTCTCACGCGTACGCCCTTCACGTGCGGCAGACAATCGACGGAGTATGATACCGGCGAGAAGTTTTGAGGCAATGTTGATTAAACTAATTCCTCTATGGTTTTCACAGAAGGACCTGTCGTCTTGCTTGTAAATCGGTATGATGACCGATTCATAGCATTCAGCTGGAACCTCCTCTCTCCCACACTGAGCCCAGGAGTTTTGTTACCTCCAAGACCAAGGCTGAACCTCCATCCTTAAAATCCGGTGGGGACAGCCCGTCGGGGCTGGTAGTCTTTTGAGATAACTTATTTCCCGGGAAACCTCCAGTTCAGATGGAGGACTAGTGTCAACTGATAGTAGTTGCGTTGTTGAAGCGTTTAGGTGGAGTTCTTGTGTCGATGGGGACCGGCTGAACTGTGCCTTAATATGTTCTGCCAAACGTTCAAGACCGCGGTCCTGAACTGGAATCAGTGTGCCGTCAGACTCCTTAGTTACCTCACTTACGGCTAGTTTTCCTGGTCGTGTACTCCTAATCCAATGAAAAAGATTGCGACTATTACCGATAGCCGCAGCCTTCTCCATCTCTCTATATTTCCCTACCCACAAATTTTCGCGGTCCGTTCTCAGACTCTTGACGAGCTGGTGTTTAAGGGGTTTTCACTCTTTGTCGTATTTTGACTCTGAAGGAATAGCTTTAAGAGCGTCCAGCAGGGCACCAAAGTGGGGTGGTGGTGCCGGGGCTCGAACCTCGGACCATAGGGTCCAAAGCAAGCCTGTGGCAGCGACTAAACCACTGCGCCACCACCGCCATAAACTAATTATGCTTGTCAAATAGCAACAAATTTCCACTAACCTTTTGGGACATTTTTATGTTCGCACCATGCTTCTATTTGGCATCGTCACAAACTGTTCTGTTGTCAACATAGGCCTAAGCGTCAAGTATTCCTTGCGTATTATTTCATGAATTAAGTGAAAGCAAGCAACTCTGTTATCATATTTGCATAGTGTTTTCACACAATTCTGAGTTCAGACTACACCTAAAAGCTCCAAAATAAAAAAACAGAAAGGTTCATGATTTGTTTGTGGACAGTATGCTGAGAGGCTGCTCATGCCAAAGCAGGTGAACTTTCTTGGGGCAGTCAACCGAAGGCTTTAGTGGGGAAAACCTCTCACACGTGAAGGTAGTGAGTTAATCTTCCTCAGCAGAGGCTACTTAAGACGCTTAGTCCTATAGGAGTATTTCATGAGGTGCAAGGGACGACTGACCAGCCGCAACCGAGATACCCACCCCCAACCATATTGAGGCTTTCTTCCCTGTTTCTGGAGAGCTTTAAACGCACCGATGGTTTCGTGCGCATTTTCTCTAGCCTCCACACGTTCCCTATTGTGCTGCCTTGCAACGTCTCAAAGAGCACCTAATATATCCGGGGTTGGCTATTCATAATTTAATAATAATAATAATAATAATCCAAATGCCTCAGTATGGTCGGGATTGGGTGTCTCTGGCCCCGAAATGGCCATTCGTCCCGAACTCCTCTAGAAATGCTCCCAAAGGACCAAGCGCCTCAAATAGCTTCTGCTGAGGAAGTAGTCCTACCTGCCTTCTCGTGGCGGAGGTGTTAACACTAAAGTGGGAGGGCAAAGGCGAACGCCCGGCGCTTTCCACCGGGTTGACTGACCACTGGTAGTCAGTCTAGGGGATTTGGCTAAACCCAGATTCCAAACCACCCACACCTGGCGTAAGAAGCCCATAGTGGCACCAATCTTCGGTGCAACCGAACCGGTCTCCAAAGTTAATCCTTGGAGTTGACCACCGTGATGCTCACCGGCAAGTGCAAGGCTCAAGGGTAATCTGGGTACCCTGGATGGTTGGCCGCATCAGAGAGGCGTATGAACTGAACCCCCCTCCCCCCCCTAGTCACCGGCTCCCAGAGGATCGTGGACTCCCTGCTCCACCCCACTGCCTTGCGGGTCAGGTTCTTTAACCAAAGGC